AGACAGATAGATAGATAGATAGATAGAGATAGAGATAGAGATAGAGATAGAGGTAGGTAGCATGCGTTATTATAAATCATATTTCTTTATCAAATCTGTCTGTCATCCCAGTAGAAATAAATAAAGACCAACCACAAGAGAAAAGCAAAGGCTGTTTATTCCAAGTTGCTAGAGCGAGGGAGTCAGCTTGCATGGTATTTTAGTGGGGTCCCAAAGGCAGGCAGAGAGAGGTAAAACTTTACAGTAGAAAAACGAGAAGGTTCCAGGTATACGTTGACTCCAAGCTGTTGACCTGGGAAAGCTATAGGTGGACTAACTAGAGGTGGCAGTCTAGGTGATTGGTGTACCTTTGGTTTTCTCTGGATGGTTCTAAATTAGAAATAGGAACAAAACATAGGGAAGCTTTCAATTATTCATGAAGTCCTGGTTGTTTGGGCTCCATTGTTACAGGGGTTATTGTTGGGCTTCCTGGACTGTTATTAGAGCTAGAGTTCTGGCTTCTTGCAAGTCTGAATCACAGCTGGCTGGATTTCTGGGTTGTTGGTTATGGATAAGCCAGGTAGTGTCCTGGGCAGGTTGCTGCGGCTGTGAGTTGGAGTTCTGTTTTTATGGACCCAGCCATTGTCCAGTTGGATATTCAGTCTTTCATTCCTCCCTAAAATAGAAACAAGAAGAACATTGTTGTATTTATTGCCATATCCCCAGAGCCTAGAACATGTGGGGTGGGGTGGGCCCTCACTATTTGTTGTTGAGGGTGATAATGTTAATCTATATCTAATTAGAAAAGATGTGACTCTATTTTTCACTCGGGTAGAAAACTACCTACAAGCCTGCTTGATTCAATCCAATTCTACAAATGTTTGTTGAGTGCTTTCTACATACCCTGGAGGCCAGTCCAGGTTACAAGAGACAAATACTGGCTGAAAATGAACTGAAGACAGGATTCCGAATGCTTTAGTCCAGGCTCATAATGCCACTTTGATTTCATCTCCACTTTTAGGACCCCTTCAGTTTCCAGGTCTTCATTGTATTGAGACTGTTTCACTTCCTCCAGCTCTCATTTACATCTCAAAAAGTGTCTGTGTGGTAGTTGATGGGGGTTTTGTTAGTTTGTTTGTTTTGGGTGTTTTGTTTTGTTTTGGTTTGGTTTTTGTTTTGACATAGAGTCTTAACTGTATTTTCTAGGTCTTGAACTCCTGACCCAAGCAATCCTCCTGCCTCAGCCTCCTGAGTAGCTGGGACTAGAGTCATGCACCACTGTGGTGGCTCTTGATTGCCTCTTCCATGAGCTGGTTATCCGGTAATCAGATGGATTACTCCCTTGGAATAGGAGTCCCATCTTGCCCCTGATACAGGTGAAACACAGGAGGGTCTCAGTGATCTGGGTCTCCTGATATTTGACCTTTTCCCTAGTTTTTAGATTAAATATGTCACTGACCTCACCTTCCACACAGAAGTCACACCTGGCTCTGGTCTGCCATCTAGAGGTGGAGGAGCAGTACTCTGGCTCTATCACCCAGGGATGACCCCCACTTAGGCATCTCAACAACTTTCAGACAAGGGCTCTCCACTCAGTTCTGTTATTGTTGTTTGATTCCAGGCTGGGGTTAATTTATCTTTCAGATAAAAACTCAAGGAACCAAGAAAGAAATGGAACTGGAAATAGAATCTGTTGGGCTAGCTCTTTAGTAACCTACACTCAGCTGTGGCAGACAGAATGTAAGCTCTGCAAGGGCAGGGATCTGGGGCTGTCACGTTGGCTAAGGTAACCACAACGGGCACATGCAGCTGCTCCTTAAGTGTCACTGGGTGAATGGAAGGCAGCCACCAACCCCCTCAACACACTAAGTTTTGAGTGAGAAATACCATGTTGCAATAGTGATCACTTTCAAGTTCACTCATTTTGTCATTTAATTTTCTCAGTCATCGATACACATATTAAATAAAAAGGCAAACAATCGAGCCACAGACATGAAAGAGGACTCTGAGGAGCAGAAGCACCATCTCTTGTTTGTGAATCCCATGTGTTTTCGACACAGGCCTGCTGAGGCGCGGACTCCACTTTCTACAGGGCACAAAACATCTCCAACCTCAGCCAGTGTTCAGCCCCTCAACAATAATGAATCCCTAGTACTCTGCTCCCTGAAGATCTCCACCGAATTTAAAATGAATCAGGATGGGAAAAGTAAACACAGGCTACAGTTGATTCGTGTGCGTTGAAGGCCTTGAGAGAGAAATGGAAGCAAACACTGATTGCTGCCTTCATTTCATTCAGGTAACTTTTTTTTTTTTTTTTTTTTGGTCAAACCTGGTAAACATTAGAAACCAATGGTCTCCGCCCTGGACTTCAGACTTCTGGATTTCCCTTCTGTCAGTTAGCCAAATATGTGCCAGAAAAAGGGGAGGAGGAGTCTCTCTCCTCCAAGCCTCCTGGGGCTGCTCTTACTTTTTCTGGATCCTCTGGCCTCAGCTTGGGGCCTGGAAGACAAGCATCTCTTCCTGCCGGTCACTAGGAAAAATGCTGAGCTCTTCATGCATAGCCTAGTCTTCGGGAAGTCCCTCCCAGAGCCTGACTTCAGTCTCTCCTTTTGAGTGTTCAGCACAATTCCCTCTGGTGCTGTCACTGCTGGAGAAGGAAGGACAGCTTCTCCTTCTCACCTTCCTTAATGGGCTTATAAACAGTTATCAAGGCCCCTTCAGCCTTCTCCGAGCCTCATTTTACTTGCTTGGAAACAGTGCTTCTGAGGTAGGGGCCCCACCCACTTGCCAGGTCTTAAATGGGTAATCAGCCACCTCACCCACTTTAACCTCCACGAATGAACAGCTCAGCCTTCTTTTGCAAAATGTAAACCCCATTCAAGGGACTTCCCTGACAACCCACCCTTATTAACAAACCATGCCTGGTCTAGGCCAGAGCAGGGCATTTGACAAATGTTTCTCTTTCTTAAGTCACGCTGTGGCCCAGGCACACTGTCAACAAGCAGCAGCACTCTCCAAGGTCTTCACTTGCTGGCTGTCCTGTGCCTCCCTCAGGCCACTGTGGGTCTGTGAGTTCTCATCTCATGCCCCAGCCGGAAGGGGGTGCTGCTCTGATGGACTCTCACTGGGTCTTAAAGTTGTTGGACGTGGGCGACAGCAGCTGAGGAGCAGGACAGAGAGCCAGGTCTCTGCTTAGGTCTGTGCTGGAGAGTTTCATTTTCTGTTCCATCACAATGCATTTACTCTCAGCTCAGTGCTCAGACCAACAGCCTGTGGTGTGGCCCCACTCAGAGTGCCATGGTGCCCTTCAGTCACAGAAAATGGGAAGAAGCAGGGCAGGTGGTTATAAGGTTGGTGTTCAGCTTTGAAAAGAGTGATTTCATTTTGAGGCCCTTTTTATTTTTTATTTTGAGATAGGGTCTTGCTAAATTGCTTAGGGCATTGCTCGGTTGCTGATGCTGACTTTGTACCTGTGATCCTCCTGCCTCAGCCTCCCAAACCTCTGGGATTACTGGTTTGCACCACCACATGTGTCTTCTCCAGCCCTTTTTATGTTATATTTTGAGACAAGTTTTCACTAAGTTGCTAAGGGTGGCCTCGAATTTGTGATCCTCCTGCCTCAGTCTCCCAAGTTGCTGGATTATAGGCATGCATGCCACTGTGCCTGGCTCAAGAGTCATTTTAACCAGAATGGCTAAAATTAAAACACCTGTCAATCCCAAGTGTTGACAAGGATGCCACACTTGGGATTGGAAGTCTCAATCCTTGCTGCTGGAGTGTAAACAGGATACACCACCTTGGAACTCTTTAGTAGCATTCAGCAATTGCTCCAGAAATCCTGCTCCCAGGTATATGTTCAGAAGCAATGAGCATTTGTGTTCACCAAAATACGTGTACTATAAAGTTCATAGTGCTAATTCACAATAGCGCTGAAAAAAAAAAGCTATTGGATGCTGAAGCACCCACTCAAGCATAGAATAGGTAAATAAAGTGTGGCATAAGCATACAAAGGCATCAGACACAATGATGGAGAAAGCTGGATGACTGCTACAGAGTGCCTTGGGCTCACCCCACAGACGTGAGGCTGAGCCCACAGACATCAGAAAGGAAAGTGTACATCTTGTGAGACACTGTTGATATGAAATTCAAAAATGACAAAACTAATCTATGATAATAAAGATCAGAATGGTCGTTGTCTCTAGGATAAGTCTACATAGGATCAAGTTGAACCCCTTAGATCTTTGTCAAATGTAAGTGACATCTCAATTAAAAATAGGAGGCATCTATTGTGTTTTCTTCTTCCCAAGTGAACAACTCATTATTTACTCACCATTTTTTTCTTTGCTCTGTTTTTGAATTTTAAAAAAAATTGAGGTGACTTACAAAAGCGTATAGTGTTGAACTACATCTATAGGTGAAGATGGGAATATTAGGTGAAACCAGACGTGAGGGTAGTCCTCGATATTTGTGTCAGGAAGTCCTCTGCACTTCCTGGGCTGAACTGAATGGAGCTTTCAATGCAAAGAAGAAACACAGCCAGTTCTGAATTCAAACACTAGCAGTCTCAGGCTGGAATTGTGGCTCAGTATTAGAGCGCTTGCCTAGCACGAGTGAGGGACTAGGTTCAATCCTCAAACACCACATAAAAATAAATAAACAAAATAAAAGTATTGTGTCCATCTACAACTAAAAAAAAAAAAAAACATTTTTTTTTAAATGAGCAGTCTCAGCTGATCAGAAGCACATGTAGTTCGGAGCCCTGAAAGAAATTTTCCTGTGCCACTTCAACAAAAGGCAATTATGTGAGCAAACCCTATCTTTTAACTTTTGTCAGCCTTCCCATTTGGGACCCTAGATATCTGAATCCCTAAGCCCCATATGTCCATATCTGGGTCAGGCCCATATTTCCACACCTGAGCCTTGCCCACCTCTGCCCCTGTAGAAATTAGGGTAAGGCAGCTCCCCCCCTGAGGGTCGGGGCCCCCCCATCCTGCTAGGTGGTCCTGGGAACTACCCACCGTTTACTTTCCGGCTTGCGATTTGAAGAAAGTCCTTCTTGTGAGGGCTGGGCTTCTGTTCTTCGGGTGTCAAGCTTGACATCTTTGCTTCTGGAACTCAGGCCGCTGTCCTGGGCGGGGGCTTTGCCACTCGGCCAGTCTCCTTCCTTGCTTATGCTCCTTGCAGGCTCCCACCCTGCCGCAGCTGCAGCTCCCTGGAGGCTGGGCTCTGTCCATTTTGGCATTTGTTTTAATGGATCTTTCCACTTCCTGGCTCCAGTTTTTGAGTTGAATTGATAGATTTCCCCAGTCACTAGAGGAGAGAAATACCATCATATAAACCAAGGAATTCAAATACTTCTGTCTTGCCCCACCTCTCCCCCACGTGGTTCTGATGGCCAAGAGACATGCAATGAGACATGCAACCACCACGTGAAGCACAGACAGAGAAAGCAGGTTGGTGAGCAGCACAGACCATCTTCACCAGCCTGCCCCTGCCCCAAACCACGCAACTCAAACCACACGGGGAGCATGTGCCACACCTCGTGGATAGAAAGGTTCAGAAGAGCCTCAAAGCCATGTCAACTGCAATTTCAAGGAAGTCTTGAACTCCTGCGGGCATCAGATAAATGAGGTTCGGTTTCTAATGGGGTTACCCATTATGTTCTGATTTATTTGGTTTATTTGAAAAGACCCCTGGATGCCTGCTATAAAAAGGAACTCACCAAGTAAGGAGGGCAAGACTTTGATTTTTTTTGTTTGTTAGGTGAGAAGAGATTTGAGGACTCAGACACAAACATGTGGCCCCATTGGAGACAAGGCAAGGGAGCCATTTTGATTGTGTCAGAGCCCACAGACACTAACTGATGTGTTTGTTCACATTAAGTCAATTGGCAGATTTCTTCTCCTTCTTTTTAAATCTTTCCAACACACAAAAACTGCAAAAGGCCTCCGGCTTTTGCACTGGAAATAGGGTTTAAGTCAAGCCCTGGCTCCTGCCATTTCTGTAGAGCACGAGTGGCCTCTCCGCTCAGAATCCCACCAGCACTTATGTTAATGTGGGCACATTATGGTAACAAGTACCTAATAATAGAGGGAAATTTAATTCCAACAGCAGCAGCTTCTCACTGGAGAGGAGCCATCCTCCTTGTGAGGAGGACCACAGCGGTCTGCATGTGAGGGTGGCAGGGAGCCAGCACACTTGCTTCCTGGATTCGGTTTCCTTCCCTTTATTCACGTCTATAATTGAGCCTTTGTAAGTGGAGGGATGTGTGTAAAGGAGCTAAATTGGGAGCTGATTTCGTGGGGGTGATGAGAGTCTGCAGGCCAGCTTTACCTTATGTTCATCTTGCCAACCAAGAAGAAATTCTTGGCCCTGATCTAGGGGAAAAGAAGAAGCCAAACTTGCCATTTCTTCCACTGCTAATAGGATGGTACTAGAAGCTTTCAGGAAGATGAGGGGAGGGGAGAGAGTTCCAATGAGCAGGGGGGAAAGAAAAGAGAGAAGAGTGGGTTCTTGAATTTACCATTTCCCTAAACTGTGAATTCGGCAGGGAGGCAAGAAAGGTGTGTCCTTGAGCGGGAGCCCTTCAGTGGAAACCCACAGGGGATGGTGCTGCCAGCCTGCACGCCCGCTGTGCGCAGAGTGGATCTCCTGTTGTATTTTAGCCTAGAAGTGTCAGCGCTGCACTACAGGCAACGTGATTGGGTGGATTCACTGAGTGAAGAGCAGGAAACAGGACAAGGTCATAGACCAGCCTGGGATAGGGAAAGCATTCTTATGGGTGGCCTTGCCAGTCAATTACCTGGGTCTACAGCTTCTCCATCAAAGACCGTGTTCATCTGGACAGTTTCCTACAGAGCAGAAAGAGACAGCTTCAAGCACAACCCTAGGCTTCCCCTGCCCCAGGCAAGGCCACTCATCCTCACAGCCCTGCAGCCGGTTCCTTACCCAAAGCTTCTTCTTGACATTTATCTATGTGATAGGCACTGTGCTAGGTGTTAGGGACACTGGGGTGAACAAGACATGTGTGGTTGCTGCCCACTTGCCACTGATGAACAGGGGTTCCTGTGCAGTCAAAAGACCACAGGAGGAGATATGTGGGATGCTATGGGACACAGGTGGGAGTGAGGGGGACATTTAATCCAGACTTGGTGGTTAAAAGAGCATCCTGAGTAAGTGACACCTGAGTTGCATCAATGGAAGAGTAGAAACACCACACAGTGTGTCACCTTGGTGAGATCATTATAAGGCAGATTTGCAAAGCAGGCACAGAGGAGCCCCCAGGAGCTCCCATCTCTGGCCCTGGCACACCAGCCTGGCACTCCTGCCTTTTCCTGCTGCCCCCTCAAATAGGCCAATGCACAGTCTCATTCAGCCCTTCCCTAAGCCCTGGGTCCATGATCTGTACTTTGTGCCATCCTTAAGGACCTGACTTGTGTCCAAAAAAAATGCACCTGTCCCTGACCCCATGGCACCCCCTTCCTTTACATGATACCCTGTAAAGGTGCCATAGACAGGGTCTTTAGTATGCTAATGAGGACGGCATTTAGAGCTTAGAGGACCTCTGGTCTTTGTATTTTCATCACATTTGTACATAATCACCTCTCCTTCCCCACAGCTCCCCAACTCTGAAGAGAGGATATAGGGATTTACATGGGTTTCGTCCACTGGATCAGGTAAGCAGCCCCACTTTTTATAGTCACGAGGATCTATTTACTTAATAGATTAATTTAGCATTACCTAGTTCTAAGACCATCTCTGAGAGGCATACCCAAGGGTACCTGCCTTAGGCAATAAGACCACAAAGACCAAAGACTGCTTCTTCTCCCCATTTGTAGACCAACAAGAAGGTCCAAGCTCTAAGGTGATGGGCCTGAAGCAAAAATCCCAGTGTACCCCATCAACCACCTCACGGTGCTCATTCACCAAATACAGAGTTTTGGCTCATAACGAAGTCTCATCATGGGGGAAGAGAAAGGAGAATCACCTTCAAGTTCCATCACTTCCCAGTGAAGACAGCAGTCTCGGTGAGAGACAGAGTGAGGTGGCAGGGTAACTCTCCAGCTACCCTATAAACTCCACATTTGTGTGACACCCAACAATTTTCACCATATTTCCCCACCTGTTATCTCACGGCAGGTGAGCTTGCTCCCATTTCACTACTGAGGAATCTAAAGCTCCAAGCAGCTGAGGGGTCCCTAAGGCCATGTGGCTAAGCGATAGGCCTGGACCATAGATAGCAGTGCTCTTTCTCTATCACTTTTCTGCAAGGTTGTGGAAACAGCAAAGAAAAATTAAATTCCACTGGAAACTGAAGTGCCAGTTGGGGTCTTTAACCTCCACTCCTCCAACTCACTCTGCTGGAGAGCTGGTGGAGACGGTAAACACCACAACTCTATATTTATGAAAGTCAGTGCTTCTGTAAATGCATCAGCAGACATGCTCAGTGGAGGGAAGGAATTCTATTAGGAACTCTGTCACACAGCAAGCTCTTCCAGTGGCCAAATACCATACCTCCCTGAATGACAAACACCCCCACAGGACCACCAGCCAACACTCAAGTCAGGTGCCTGTGGCTGACCACACTCACCACCACAACCTCTCTGTTTGTCTTCTTCATGTCTGCAGGAAAGAGAACAGGCAGCAGTTAATTTTCCTTAAAATTCTACCCCCACAATGAGATATACCCTAAACAGGCTTTGAAACCAGTCTTACAGATAAGGCAAAGAATTTTTCTGACTGTAAACATTGATAGTTTTCCATCTTCTCAGAAAAATATGCACATGTATTTTCAATACACACACACACTTAAATTTTTAAACTATTTTTCCAACTTATTATTTTTGGGGGGACCTAAAAAATAAGTAGACTTAGAGATCAAAAAGAAAGATTGAGTTGATACACTCGCTCAAATGTGGGGATTTTTTTTTTCTTTTCATTTCATCTATGCCCTTCTTAAAAAATAACTGGGATTGGAAACAGTTTGTAAAATTTCACAGGTCATCTCATTTAATATGATTAATAATCATTATGATCAAATTTTTAACCCTGATGTACATGCTTTATGTACGTCAGACACATGCTGTGGATGGAGTGACTAAGGCAAACATTTTTTTAACACACTTTTCAATTTTATATCTTGTCTCTCCCACTAGCCTGGGGTCACCTTCAGGCAACAACTTGTTGGCCAGGGGCAGGACGAAACACTTCCTCAAGCCTAGAGCTTTCAAACAGACCTGGCTCAATTTACAAACTTTCCTGAAATTGTTCAGCTCCCGGCTAATCTGGCTGCCCTCGATCCCTCTTTCTAACTAGTCTGGCCTAAATAATTTGTGCAAATTATCAGATCCATTGCAGCCTGAGAATAAAATCTCATTTGTTCTTTCAAAAGAGGCAGGTGTCCAAGACAGAGCATTAGCTATCCTCAGGAGGGATCATGCCCCTCCATGTGCTGTACTGAGTAGATACTGTGTTTAACACATGGAGGATTCTTTATTCCTGTCCCACTCAGTGGGGAACAAGCCCAGGTGCAGAAGGTAAACTGATTGGAGATGACCCTGGGTGGGAGCAGGCAGGGCCCACGGGAGTTTTCCCAATAGGCCAAAGGCACCATGCACCCAGCCCTTCCTGTGCTCCAGCAGCATCTGCCCTGTGCTTCATTCTACCAACAATGATGCTGCTAAAAACTCACCAATATACAATTTGTGCCAACTGGCTCTGTTGGGTCCTTTTTTATGTAGTACAACAGAGCATGCAAGCAAAAAGAAAAAAAAAGGAATAAGCACTGTACATACCTCCTTTCTTTGCCCTATGGGAAAGAAAAAGAATGGGTATTAATTAACCTGAAAGTGGTCCACACAGGTGAACACAAGATAACATAGGGTCCTTTGGGCAACTGTGTTGCTTGGGGTTCCAGGGCTGATTTGCAAAAGGGGTCATGGATGAGGGCCAAAAAGAAGACCTGGCGACTGCCCCTGCTCCAAACAAAGTGGCTTTGTCACCAATGGCTTTGGCCTTGGGAGGTTTGGGGAATTTGAAAATTTTGACTACTATTGCCTTATAGAATTCAGGAAATATGACGACTCCGCTGAGGACACCTGGCAAGGGCGTCATCAGCCAGGTCAGATGGCCAGGCAATTCTTTCCCTTTTTCTCCCACAGAACTAGCTGAGCAGGGGGGTTGGCTCACAGAAGGCAGTTTGAGGGCTGGCAGTTAAATTTGGTTTCCTGTAACATGAAGAAAGAGCTAGACCTGGACTCTAAGACCCCTCTCCTGATAACCTTCGAGTAATGGTTGATTTGAATTGTCAACCTGATTGGATTAAAATATGCTGATGATTAAGAGGCTTCTGGGTGTGTCAATGAGTGCGTGTCTAGGAATGATTGCCATCTGGGATAGCAAATTGAAGTGGAGACCCTCCCTAAGCATGAGCAGCACCATCCAATAGGAGCATGGTGGCTTGGATAGAGTAAAAGTTGGAAGAACAAGGAAGCAACGGCAGATGCAGGCTCAATTCTTCTTGAATGGGTTCTTGGTGGCTATTGCTATCGCCTGAGGATATCAGACTCTCACTTCTTTACTCTTCCAAAGCACACTCTGCCAGTGATTCTCCAGGGAGTTTCCAGAAGCCTTTTGGTCTCCTGGGGTAGCATCACTGATCCCTCTTGTTCTGATGCTTCAGCCTCTTGGACTGTGCAGAACCCCGACTAATACACTCGGATTCTATACTTCTGTGATTCTAATTTTGATTCTTTGCTGTTTGACAAATGCTGGTGGCCACATGGTACAACTTACTTCTAAAGATGTCAGGTCTGGGTATGAATTTCTAGCTGGTTTTCTTTCTTAAGTCAACAATGCTGGAAATGGTATTTAAGATTGTAAGTTAAAACTACCAGGTTCAAGGTGCACATTTAACATTTAGCCATCTATTCCGTGAGTTGCACTGTCTATTGGATTACTTCCTTCAAGAACTTCTACCCAAATCCCACCACAGGATAACACCATCCTTACAAGCTTAAGTGTCACTCTTTTAGAATCATGTTTTTTTTCTTTTTGGTCCTGGGGATTTGACCCAGGAGAGCTTTACCACTAAGCTACATCCCCAGCCCTTTTTATTTTTTTCTTTTGAGACAGATTTTCACTAAGTTGTTAAGGTTGGCCTCAAATGTGTGATCCTTCTTTCTCAGCCTCTGGGATTACAAACGTGTGCCACTGCACCAGCCTTAGGATAATTTTTTAAGTCAAATTGTGAGTACAGTCCAAACAAAGATTTTTTTTTTTAATTTCAACAAATACTCAAGGATTTCTTACCTTGAAGTCAAGGTTGCCAATAGCAACTTCCCAAATAAATATGGCAAAATGCAATGCACATCTATATGCTAATGCCTTTTACTTGTATATAATCTTTCATCCATAAGTTTTAAATTATTTTAATTATTTTAAATTATTTTGAATTATTTAGTTAACCTTAAAAATATCTTTAAGAGGGCTGGGGTTGTGACTCAGTGGTAGAGCACTTGCCTAGCATATGTAAGGCACTGGGTTTGATTCCCAGCACTACAAAAAAACTAAAGATATTGTGTCCATCTACAACTAAAAATGTTTTTTAAAAAATACCTTTAAAAGGCAGATCAATCTAATTACCCCTCCTTTTTTGCAATTGAGAATCCTGAGACTCAGTCGTTTCAATGTTCTAAGAAACTTGGGTGCAAAGCCAAACTTGAAATCTAGAATCATAAACTCACTGGGTCTTAGCTGTGAAGAATAATGCAATAAAATTTTTAAAATAATGGCTATGATGTTTTAAACATCTGTTACCTGCTAGGGAATAGTGCAAAGTGCTTATTTGAGTTTGCTTATTTAATTGGTCATCACTTGCCCAAAGCCACATACCAGAAGATGGTAACATCAAAGTTTGAACCCAGGTCCCGTCTAATTTCAAAGTCCCAACTCAGAATCACCATGCTCAAACGGTAAGAGTCACTGAGACACAAGAAAAGTGGCTCTGAGAGAAGCCTGTGACGATTCAACGTTCTGCTCACACCACTACCTCACTTTAACCAGGAAAGGACACTCCACAGGTTGTCACAATAAGAGGCCTATGTGTCCACAGGAGAGAACAGCGAGGAGAAAAACTGGCCTGTGTGTATAGTCCCTGAGATCGAGGCAAAGAACGATGATGGTTTGGTTATGCACAAGCCCAACTGCATCATGAGAGCCAAAAGTTTAATTCCCTTATCGGCTCTTGTGTTTCCTTTAATTCCACCACCTCCTATTAATGTTCTACAAATAAGAGCACAGCGTATTCTGTCACTACTCACAACAGGGCTTTTCTGAGGCTTTTATGCAGAACAAGGTCACCAAAAGGCTGACAGCCCAATTTCACTGAAATCCCATCAGGGACAGAGCAGGTTTTCAGAGAAAGTCCAGGGAATGGTTTCCTGGTCCCACCTATGACAAAGAGGGTACACCAGGCCCAAGGGCAGCTGGGATTCCTCCTCCCTATCTCCTTTTCCCTCTGTCACTCCAGGAATCCTGTCCTGTTGAAAAATCCTGAGGAAATCCCAGCCCACAGCAACTTACAGAGGTTTCTTGTTCTTCCCCATCTTGCAGGGACAGCATCTGTGGATGGCTTTGGCCAACAGGATGATCAGAGACACCAAGAGACCCAGAAGCAACACGGAGCCTGTGGTGACGACGAAAGGCACATACCACGCAGATGGAGAATACACGTTTTCCCTGAAGACCTGGTAAGTGATCCTGGGCTTGAACAAGAGAGAGCCCGAGTGTGAGCAGAGGGTGGTTGCGTCTTTGACATTAAGCACTCTCCCTGTGTGTGTGTGTTCATTCCACTCTGTTCCTGCTCTTACACCGACATCTATCTGCCCTGTTCTTGCTACTTCCACCCATTGCCTTATTTATAGTCTTTGAAAGCACGCATTAGACCCAAACCCAGAAAAATTGGAGAACTGAAAAGCAACTCCAGGCCTAATTTCATTCTATCTCTTGTCCCCTTCCCAAAAGCTAAAAGATCCATTGGCTGTTTTTCTGCAATAACAGCATAATCCAGGGACTAATATAGCCTTTGTCTCTCACTGAGAAGGCATGAACCACGAAAGCTGTTTTTCTAACACCTCGTAGGCTTTTCAGTGTTCACTGGAGACAGCTGGCGCTGCCAGGTGAGTGGGCTGCTATCACAGCGGAGCCTCAAGTTCAGCATCTGCTTCCTAGAGCAGGAGACACAGCAAACAAGCCATGGAGATGCCATAACTAGGTCATGCTGTAAGCCCAAGAAAGGTGGGCTTACACCTTTCTCAAGGGAGCCTACTAGTTACACAAAGAGTCCTTAAGCTTGCTGGCTCCACTCATGGGGGGTCATATCCACTGGAGCACAGGAGAGAAACAGTACCCAGCTCCCAGGAAGACTCTGCCAAGCACAAGTTGGCCACCGTGGTAGGTGGTTTTCTAAGGTTCCAATCACTTTCTTCTGGTATGCTACAAATATGGGGCCTGTGACCAGGGGTGCAACTTTTACTAGGAGAAGAAGGAAGGGGACAAAAGAAGAGAGACCAGTTCCTCCGAGGGGCAGAGGAGATACTCTTGTCAGATTCCAAGTTTCTCCCTTTCTTCTCTTTTATGGCACCTGCTATTTTTTTTTCTTAACAATTACCACAATCTGCAATTATTTTATTAATTAGTGTGCTTGATTGTAATCTGTCACCCCTTCTAAGTCAGTGGCTCTCAACCTTTCATGCACAACAGAATTCCCTGGAAGGCTCTTTACAAGCATAGATTGCTGGCTCCCAACACCAAGTTTCTGATCCAATGGGTCTAGAGATGGGGTTAGGGATTCCAGGTTCCCGCCTCCTTCCCTGGAGGTCATGGTTGGGTGAGGTATAACTAATAATCTGGAGTGGACTGGGCATGGTGGTATATTTCCAACTACTCAGGAAGCTGAGGCAGGAGGATTGCAAATTCAAGGCCAGTGTGGGCAATATAGCAAGACCCTTTCTCAAAATAAAAAGTAAAACAAAAAATGGCAGGGAATGTAGCTTAGTGGTAGAGCACTCCTGGGTTCAATCCCCAGTTTCACAAAATAATACCGATACCAATACCAATAATAATAATGTTAATCATAACAATAATCTGGAGTGGGTCTGAAAAAAATTTCCTTTTTTAAAATTATTTATTTATTCTAATTTGTTATATATGACAGCAGAATGCATTTCAATTCACAGTACACACATAGAGCATAATTTTTCATTTCTCTGGTTATACACAAAGTAGTATCACATCATTCATGTCTTCATACATGTACTTAGGGTAATGATGTCCATCTCATTCCACCACCATCTTTTCTACCCCCATGTCCCCTCCATTCTCCTCCCTCCCCTTTGCCCTATTAAAGTTCCTTCATTTCTCCCATGGTTCCCCCCACCCCCATTTTGGATCAGCATCCATATATCAGAGAAAACACTTGGCCTTTGGTTTTTTTGGGATTGATTAACTTCACTTAGCATGATATTCTCCAACTCCATCCTGCAAATGCCATGATTTATTCTCTTTTAATGCTGAGTAATATTCCATTGTGTATATATACCACAATTTCTTTATCCATTCATCTACTGAAGGTAGTTTTTTTTTTTTTTTAAACCAGGATATAACGTTAAAAGTTCCAAGGGTCCAAGGTCTCAGCCAGGGCTTTACCTACCTGGTGGCCACTCTGATCCAGCCTAATACCTCAACTCTTTGTAGCCCATCCCACTCTTCTCCTGGATCAAATGGCTCTATTGATATAAACCACAAGGGCACGTGGTTCAGGATTCCATACCCCCAAGTGCTTACCCTGGGGGCGGTGGTGATGATCGTGGTGGGGTGGGGAAGGACTTTAATACTCAGTGTCACCGTCCCTGTTTCAACAAGAGCCTCAGCTTTCCTTCTGCCAGACAGCAAGTTGTCATCAGTTATGTAGACAAGTAGTGTGTAGTCCCAGATCTTATCAAGGCCACCCTCGTAGTCAAAGCTGGATGCAAGCAGCAGACGTGTGACATTGGAGCCAGCATTGGGAGAGAAGGTGAAGTGACTGTTGATGTTGCCTAAATGAGATGTGATACCAGGGTGTTGGTAAAAGGAAGAAGAGTGCAGATAGAGATTTAGGAGAAAACTGCATTAATGTCCACACTGGAGGGTAGACGTCATGACTGAGGCACCAGGGCTGGGTCATGGCTGCATGGGAGATTTCATTAGTATAAAGAAACTCACTTATAAGCAGAGTGGCTGCAAACAAGGATGAATAGAAAAGCACCACAGCCTACCTGTCCTAGGTGCCATCAGGCAGAAGAGATTTAATAACATGGTACAGCCCCCACTAGCTGACAATCCAGGATTTATTTAGCAATAACATGTAACTCACACTCAGACTGTTACAGAGCTGAGGACTTCTGAGAAACTGAGAAGGTGCAAAGTCCCCCACTTCAAACCCGGATTATTGTGATCAAGTCAGAAATATTTCAGACATGTTGCTCAGAGTAACAGGAATAGGTTGTTGAAGGGATAAGAAAAGGGAAAGGGGACACCATCAAGGAAGAGAGTGGGTCCTCTCAGAAAGAAGAGGGGCAATGTGCCTCTCCTGCACTCTTGTTTTATTGGAGATCCCAGAGAAGTTTCTAGAGAGTCCCATCCAGGTCCACCCCTTGACTTTTGACTGACAGCAGGCTGACATCAGACTTTCAAGTCCCCACTACTATGGCAACTCTAGGTCACCTTGGCCCATGCTGACCGATGCTAATTGGATTCTATAGTTAGGAGGATTTTATGGATAGGAGGAATTACCCTTATCTCCCAGAGTTTCAGGATCTGGTCAAAAAAGTCTCCACCTTCAGGGTGACTTGGGTTCCTCTTATCAACGTTATTTTGGGCCTCCATTTCTCCTGCAGTGAACAGGTAGTTTGCTGAGGAATGTGACATATCCTGATCACTCAGGCCAGGCAGGGCTACAGGTAAATTGCTTCTTTGAAAAGAAAGCCTGTGGGGTCAGCCCAGTGGGCCCATTTTATAACATTATTCTCTTAACTCGTGTTCCCATTCACATCTGCTGTCCCCTAACATGACCACGAGTGGGCCGCAAGAGGTGGAGCAGTCACATCCTTAATACAGGCTAAATTCTCCCCAGGCCTTTCATGGAACCTGTCTGGTCATATGGGTTACCGATGTCCCTGGAGTTCTCCAAAGGAAGGTGCCTCCTGGTTTGGTATGGAGCGCAGCCCCAGGTCCTTCTAAACTCACCCCACTCCTCGCTAAACACGCACACAGTCTGTTGGGGCTCACAGCACACAGCTCAGGGAGCCTGGGGCAGGACAGCTGCCAGCCCAGGCATAGCTCCTGCTCATTCCTCCGGTGGCTCCAGACTCATTACCGACTGAAAACCAGTAAATGGAGCAGGAGATGATGCAATTTCTACTCCCTGAGCAGCAAAGTGCTCCATAAAGGCCTTAGGGTTCTCAGTATGGATTATTTCCATCTTCAGCAACTGCAGTCTCAAGGCAGTGTCTGCCCCTGGGTTTTGTGACACAGCCGGCTCAGAGGCTTCCTACTGTTCAAGTTCCTGCTCTGCCAGGGCTCAGCAGGCGGCCGAGATGGATTTTTACTCTTTCCTGTGCAATTGCTCTGCTTGTTTGGGTTTAAATCTCTGGCCCCAGCACTTCATTAGATGAGCTATTTTGGTCTAATTTCCATTGAGAGGTGCTCTTTTTTTCCCCCACAATGGTATATTTTTAAAGAGAGAAAATGAATGGCGCAGAAGAGAATTGCTGAGGACACAGTTTCAAAATGCATTTAATCTATTTAATCTATTGTTATCCAGAGAGAGGCCTAGGATGCCCTGCCTCCCCTGACAAGCTTTTAGGAAAAGGGGCGGTTGAGGAGTTAGACTCAATTTTTTAAAAATTACACTAATAGGGGCATGTGACTCATAGTTTGGAAATTTGAGGGCTGGGATTCGCTATCAACGGGATTCACCCTTCCTGAGACCTGTGCTCAGCTGAGTGTATGGGTGTGGGAGAATTAGATGAGATGGGGAAGCCAAGAGGAGCACTGGAAAGCACAGGGATCACTAAACAACTCATTCCTCCTTCCTCATTCAAACCCCACCCCACACGGATCCCGGGCCAGTGTGTGGACACAACGCCACAGTCCTGTCTCAGAGACAGGTCCAGGGCTGTCCACACCAAATACTGTACCTGGGCCAATGGAGTAACGAAAAGATTTGGGGCTGGAATCCAAGTCGGTACATGTCAGCTTGAAATTCTGAATGTTTGTGCCAACTTTCAGATCCACTGGGATGGCTAGGAAATAAGAGTTGGGGGTACACATTGGCTTTTCATCATTTTCTCCAATGATGTTCACAGTGACCTAGAGCAACAAGAAGGGGTGCTTACTGTATGCCAGGTACTTTCCATGGAGTAAGCTCACTTAACCTCACAAGAGGAGGATACATGATAATTCCTTTTTTTTTTTTTTTTGGTTTGTTTTATAGTACTGGGGATTAGAACTCAGGACCTCAGGCATACTAAGCAAGTGCTCTACCACCAAGCTGCATTCCCACTTTGTTTCAGTTTATGGATGAGGAAAAGAAGATTTAGAGAGATGAGGTAATTGATCTAATACCATTCAGCTGGTAAGAGGCAAAACTGGGATCTGAATTCAGTTCTCTTCTATCCTAAATCCCAACCTGTTAACATCTTTGCCATTTGCACCCACATGCACATGTGTGTGCAAGTAGCCTATGCAGACATTTCACAAGCCTCATGATACACGCAGGCACCTCCATGCATGCGTTCCCTGAGGTTGATGCTGAGTTCTTTTCCCAAGTGGGTATAGATTTGCAGGGACCCCACGCACTTCCTTGTTTGCCTTCCCTTGTGAATTGGAAGCTCAGTCTCTAACTTTGGTGGGCACAGAAATGGTTCTCAACCCTGGCTCCGCTTTCTTGAGCCAGTTTCAGACCAAATGAATTGGAATCCCAGGAGGGTGGAGCCAGGCATGGTTTTTCATGTTCTCCAGCAGATTCTGACATGCAGCGGTGGCTGAGGAGCACTGGGCCAGAATGAGTGGGCCTAGTGGAGCTGGGATCTCATCTGTAACTGGGGCTATTAGCACCACACTGAGCCCAGGAGCTGACCTGCCACAAGCAGGGGCCAGTCTATTCTCTTTCATCACTATCCTTTGTGCCCGGCAAATTGGCATATATAGACTGGGATGCCTGCCAGCAAGAATCATAGAATGTCAGCTGAAAGGGACTTATATGATCGTTTAGTTCATCACCCTTTTAAAAAGCTTATGAATTTTGAGTCATATTCATTCTACTTTTGAAATTTGGGGATTTCAGCTCTTTCTGAGCCTGGGAATAAATTGAAATGTTCACTCTAGTTAGCTTCCACAGTAAAGTCCATTCATTTTTCTCAAAAAAACCCTGTAGCCTAACAAACACTGCAATTATCTCCAGCTTTCCTCGGCTAGCAATGCCCAGTCTCCCACACATCATTGAAAACATCATCCCATTAATTCAAAACAAGTCATCAGAGGAACTGAACTATTTGGGTATTGGATTTATCAGGGGACTTTCCGCTTAAGAAGTACTGAAGTAAGGACACAGAGATAAGCCTTGTTCAGACCCCCTTGGAAAATTAAGATCAAAGTTGATAAATGAACTCATTCTCCCGACTCCAAGCCAGTCATTGTCTATATCACACAGGAATCTGCTTCTAGCTAAGAGTCCATTTGCCTTCATGCTCTTTTACTTTATTAGTGGGAAAGAACAAGGAATAGTTATGACTTTATGGTCACGATGTTGTCCTCAGATAATCCTAATCCCTGACCCAGTGGACCTATTAGACCCTCCTATGACCCTGATGTGCTACTCATGTGGCCATGGACTAGCAGAACCACTGGGAAGCATGCTAGAGATGCAGGATCTCAGGCCCCACCCCTGCTCACAAGAATCTGCATTTCCCAGGATTCTCAGCATCAAGGGATGGAAAGCATTGCAGCAGTAGACATCAGCTATGGTTTGGAGGAGTGTCCCCTAAAGGTCCACATGTTGAAGGCTTGGTCCCCAAGGACCAAAATGGAGAAACCTGTGGGAGATGTCCTTAGGTCATTGAAGGTGTGCTCCCAAGGGGAGTGTGGGACCCTGGCCCATCTTCTCTCTCTGCTTCCTGGCTCAAATTGTGAGCACTCTCTGAGATACTCTGAGATACACTTCCACCATGATGTGCCACCCACCCTCACTAGGAGCCCAAACAAATGGGACTAATCCATTTGTCCACCTAATCATGGACTTTAACTTCCTGAATTGTGAGAATAGCCTGCGTCAGGTACTTCATATAGTGACACAAAGCTGACTGATACAGCACCATTGTAAGATCTACCCCATTTGGTGTACATGGCAAAACAGCTCTTGGAGAAGAGACAGGTAACGATAAGACCACACCCAACTTCCAGCAATGTGCATCTCACTGCAAGCCCACATGGAAGGCAAAGTGAGATTTAAAGGGCCTTAGAAGGAACCTTGTCCCACAAAGTGGGTTTGTGGGTTGAACAGATACCCAGTGTCTGGTCATCCATCTCAATGCTTCTCCCAGTCACGCACAAACTTGGCCCTCAGATACAGATGTGGATCTTTATGTCCTGGGCACTACTACTCATTTCTCCTTGCCTCTGCAAGATATGCCCTGTGAAGATTCCCCTTTGCAGCAGAGAGACTCTGATCAACCAGTTGGATAAGTGAATGTACTCACAGTGACTGAGCTGGTGTCCTCGCCATTGGTGGCCTGGATTCTGAGAATGTAGATGGAGGTTGTCTCATAGTCAGCTTTTGTTATTAGCTGAAGTTCTCCTGTCTTGGGATTAATCCAGAATATGTTTGGGTACTGGGGGCTGGCGCCTCCAGAGGAGACGGAATAGACGATGCTGCTCTGGGGGAAGTCTCCATCGGTTGCTCGCACCTGTCCAACTCGTGTTCTAGCTGGAGGAATAAAGCACCTGGGATTAGTCCTGACTGGGTTGGGGAAGTGGATGGCCCAGGAACATGTATCTTCACAGCTATGGGCAGAAAGACTTTTGGAGGACTCCTTGTGGTTCAGATCTTGCATGTTTTATATCTTCAATTCTCTTAAGTTCAAATAATGCTAATGAGCACCCACTAGGTTATTGGCTCTATGATCCAAACAGTCCTGTGAGGTGTGAAAGACAATTCATGCCTTTAAAGAGGCTCTGAGGGCACCAATTATTTTGTTATCATAAACAACAGGGCAAAGAACATCCATCCCCACATATCTTTTTGTTAACAGTGCTGTCTAAAAGTCTTTTCTATTTTTCAGATTTTCCTATAATGAGCATGAATTGCTCTTATAAACAAGATGAAAAGCACTTTTAAAAAAAAAGAATTTAGCAACTGATGATTACAGAGTGTAGATTTTAAAATATAGTTCCATTTTGCCTGTTTCACAAATATCATTGGTGTGGCTGTTGGAGTTCTAGCTTCCTTGTTTTATAGAAGTTCTTTCTTAAAAATTACACTCCTCCTGGGCAGAAAGCTTCTCTTATTCTTTAACCTAGTGTGTGACCCAGAGCAGGTGGTCAAAAATAATTGCAGTGAATTCATCAAAAGCCTATTCCTGCTGAATGTGTTTTCCACTGGGTAAGGTATAAGGAATTAAAAGCATTTTCTTCGGACCTTCTTTTTAAGTGTTTTAAGACTTAATGTCAAGAGATGGAGACGATAATAAAGAAAGAAGACAGTGGAGAGGAGATAATTTTAGGGGGAGTGCTCTGGATTTGGTTTGGTTTTGAAATATGGAAGAAATGTCCATGTTCTCAAGATCAAAGGCTGTGGGGACATCTGTTACACTCCAGAGTTTATATACTCGATTATAAAGGAAAGCTAGCAAACAGTATTACCTTCAAACCCAGGGAGATGAGGACAAACTGAAGTTGGGAGTAGGAGTATTTTCTTGTTGGGAAAAGCCTACGAAAATCAAAGTGTAATAAAGGGCGGGCAGAAAAAAAAAGTGTCCAGTGATTCTGAGCAGAGAGAGAAAATGTCTTTGTTTTTAAGTGAAGAAAATAGAGAAATGAGAAAATTCTACTTTCAAGTTTCAATTCTCTTAGTGAGTTGACCAAAAAAAAAAAATCACAGTGGAAACCAAGAGGAAAATTTTAGGTTACAAAAAGGGAGGATGAGCAGAATCAGGCAACGCGCCAAGGAAGCAACCAGGGATTTCAGGGAAATGCAGTTTAATCCAGAGCTCCAATACACAGTTTCACCTGAAGGATGCTGCAGCAGCAAGGACAATTCAAAAAACATAAGAGGTGCGATAAACACTAATCAGCTATGAATCAATGTGAAAAACATGCCTGGGGGCCTCTGGAAGGAGGCAAATGTGCATTTGGACCAGAGCCCTGTGGCCTACCTCTCGACTGACTCACCTGGTCTTATTTCAGACACATTGAATACATAGAATGGCCTATCAAAGATGAGGGGAAACTCATCTTCTGGGCTTGTTAAGATAAAAATGTAGATGTTATCTAAAAAATGAAAATAGAAACAAATTTAAGTCAGAATTGTTATTTGTTTATTCAACATTTTTAAAGCATCTTCGGGGCAGGTTCAGGAATACAGGTGGATAAGGTCTGATGGTTCCTTCCTTGAAGACGTTTAGGGTAGTCACCTCCTGATAAGTACAGGTACAGGTCACTATGGAACCTTACAAGGACGAAGTTAGACAGATGAACAGGATGGGAATGGGGGAGTGTTCTAGGGATGTGCAAAAATACCAAGGTGTAAAAACACATGATTCACACAGGACAACAGTAAACTGTTTGGTCCAGTTGAAAAAAGTAGGGGGCAGGGCCTTTCGGGGTGGGGAGGAGATGCCTCTAGTGAGTTAAAAAGCAGCAGTGGGATGATGAAAGTACTTGTATGCCAAGCCAAAGTTTGAACCTCAACTTGACAATGAGAAACACACTCAAGGAAATTATATGATGGCATGTGCATTTCCTAAAAAATCACTGACAGAAAGGAAGATACATTAGAAAGGAGCAAGACTAAAGATGGAGAGACCCTTACAAAACCCTTAAGTGTTGTAATTCAGTCAAGAAAAAGGAGGCCCCTGCATCAGAGCCCAATCAGAAGGCTGGAAGACCTAGCACAACTCCTTCAATTACTTAGCACAGTTTAGTCACTGATGCTCAAGGAAGATACCACATGAAAAAAAATCAAAATGATACTTGCTTTTATAGTAAGGAAAGGCAACGTCTTGCACCTGGATTATCAGGGTGTATTTATTGCCAGCTGCTAGATTACTTGGATTTTCACAATCTAGATCACCAATCAACTAGATTAAAACAGAGACATTACACAAATAAACAATCTATTCATCAAACTGACAAAGACATTTTCATATGCTGCTGGAGGATATGTAAATTAGCATAATCCTTTTGGAAGCACTTTTCACATGTATTTGAGGGGGTTTTAAAAGTGACAACCATACCATTGTGCACGGTTAGAGAACTTATTCAAAAGGATTTACCAACAGGCAGGCGAGGTGGCATGTATCTGTAATCCCAGCAATTTGGGAGACTGAGGCAGGAGGATTCCAAGTTTGAGGCTAAGCCTCAACACTTTAGCAAGGCCCTAGGCAATTTAGTGAGACCCTGTCTAAAATAAAAAGAGCTGTGGATATAGCTCAGTGGTAAAACACCCCTGGGTTCAATCCCCAGAAGCTGCAAAGCCCTGCAGCTTCACCCTTGTGGCAGACACCTTCACCACCACCCCCCACATCCTTGGGCAGGAGCCTTGGGCAGGAGTCTCGGGCAGGTGAAGGTCTCAAGAAGCTTGTTGAGACCTACCTCTACGCTCTGATTCTGCTTTTGCCCTGGTGCGTGCCCTTCCCACCCTCCTTGTCTTATCTTCCTTTGAGTCTCTGGCGGTTCTACGATGTGATATGAAACCCACCAAGACACATTCGTGGCCCAGGCCCTGCTTTCTCTCCCTACACGTCATTTGAGGAATGAGCCCTCCAATAAACAAAACAGCGTGAGCACAGAGGGCAGGCCACCAAGGTGTCTGTAAGGGCGCACTGAGCAGGCCTGCGCGCTGGGAGCTAAGGGGAGAAGAGCCCAGTCCCCAGCGCCCTAGCCCAGCCATGCGTGTAACAAATGATTCCCGGTACCTGTGTAAAATAAAGAGTGACCAGGACGCAAGCTTGCTATTAAATTTGTCTGTTACAGAGGCTCTGAGAGGGGGTTACCTTGGAAATTTCTCTCAATGGGGCAGTAAATAAACTATGCATGTTGGACCAGCTTCCCCAGTGCCCTCTTAATGATGCAATGACCATAAACTGACCACAATTTTCCCCGAGCCAGCTGGATCCTGTAAAAATCTGTGACTGCTCCCCACTCCAGATGGCGTGGTGAAGTTGAATTTGTTGTTTGGTGCTTCGCTGTCCTCATCAAAGCAGAATTTGTTCAGGTCCAGAAGCGACGTCCCGTTGGCTGCTGTTTCAGACACCATAATGCTGGTGAAAACACAGAGTCAGTATTTTCCCCCAACACATGGTGATGGAGAGCTCCTTCTAACCTAGGCCCTGGGCTCACACCTCTGCTTTATTTTCAGTTCAAAGCAAGTCCTTGGTTATTGAAGTAAGCTCCTCCCAGTTCTCCCTTTTGCAGTCCTTGCCTCCTTTCAGATAATTTTTAACATAGCAACCAGAGGCGTCCAGTTAAAATGTTGTCGGATTGTGTCAGTCCTCTGCTTCTAAGTCCTAAGTGGCTCCTCATTTCACTTGACATCTAACTTTGATCTGAAGGACCCTCATGACATGCTGCATGTTCTCCCTCTGAACTCACTTCCTGTAGCTCCTGGTGCATGCTCCTCCTGCCATTCTGACCTCCTTCCATTCCTTGCACACTCTGCCATGCTCTAGCCTTGGGTCGTTGCATTTGCTGTCATTGACAGTCTCCCAAAGGCCTGTGTATTAAAGGCTTGGCCTCCCAGGGTGGCACTGTTGGGACATGGTGGACCCTTTAAGATGTGGGGCCTACTTGGAGATCCTTAGGTCATTGGAGGCATACCTTTGAAGGGGAGTGTGGGACCTTGGCCCCTTCCTCGACCTCTTTTGTTTCCTAGCCATAAAGTGAGTGGTTTTGTTCCGCTGCACACTACCGCCATGATGTGCTGCCTTACCTAAGTAATGGGGCCAACTGATCACGGACTGAAACCTGTGAAATTGTGAGCCAAAATAAATCTTTCTCTTTATAAGTTGATTATCTCAGGCATTTGTTATAGTAACAGAGAGCTGAGTCACTCCCTCTTTGGCTTTCTTTAGCCTCTGATCAAACATCACCTTCCCAGTGAGGCTACCCTATCTAAAATATCAGTGACCCCTGCCCATGGCTTCCCCTTCTGTTCCCCTCTTTATTTCTAAATCTTAGCACTTAATGTAATCCAGCATACTACATATTTTGCTTATTTATCCTGTTTATTGTCCGTTTTTCCCCCTAGACCATAAGCACTTTGAGGAAGATTTATTTGCTCTGTTTTGGGCACTCAGTAAAAATTTGTTGAATGAATGAATGACAGAAGCAGATGAGAGAACAGTCATAAAGAAGAAAATAAGAAAAATATAAATTTCACCCCCAACCTTAAACTGTAGGAGTTTATAATCTGGTTAGAGAAAAACCCTGTACGCTTGCAGCCCTTGCAGTCCCTTGATCCTACATCATCTCCCATGCTTTGAAGGTTGGGAATGCCTTGAGTAGTTTCCCAGCCATACCAGTGCAATAGAGAGGCTCCCAATGACCTAGTATCACTAATTCAAGACAGATTTATTGAGGGTTGAATTTGGGGTCCTAATCTCAGTTGACCCAGGTTCTGGACAAATAACACAAATGAATAAAGCTATCTCCAAACTCAGAGCCTCTGGCCAGGCCCAGGTTGGTGTGGAAGACTCTGAGACTCTAAAGGCTTCATTTCATGGAGAGTTTTTATCATGTCTCTAAGTTTCAGCTTCTCCATCTATGAAATGCACATAAATCATGTCAGTGAGCTTTTGCCACATAACACACCAGCCCAAAATCTGGTAACTTAAAAAAACAAGCATTTATTTTATTTTATTTTTTCATTATACTGTGGGTTATCCCACAGTTCTTGTTGGGTTTGGCTGGTTCCTGTGGTCATTGGCAGTTCAGCTGGGACAGGAGGTCTAGGATGGTCTTGCTCACACTGCTGGTGGTGAGAAGTGGTTGGTCTCCTTGCTCTCATCCTTCAGGAGGCCACCAGGCTCTTCACATGGAGATCCCAGGGTTCCAAAAGCAGCAAGAGAGAGCAAGCCCAATGCACAAGCACTTTGCAAGCCTCCATTGTGCCGTGTTTGTGAATGTTCCAGTAGCCAAAGCAATTTACATGGTCAAGCACAGATGCAAGGAGAGAAGTCCATCTCTTGATGGGAGGAACAATAAAATCACCTTGTAAAAGTGATTTTCATAGAGATGGCGAGAGGCATGGGAGGATTTGTGGTTGTTCCTTGGGTATCAATCATATTTTGCCTTTGCAAAAGTTCTTACAAAAACATATTATGGCTGCCATGAGAAGGTGCCTAGAAGACCTTCAGCCAATGGGATTATAACTGACCACAGGCCCCAGCAGCTGTGCTTTGAAATCTGTCCCTGGGTTTTGTAGTGAGGCCATGTACCAATGACTGAGTGGGACAGATATACTAAGATAGGCTCATTCTGTCCTTTGACAGCTGACTTTGGCTTCAGAACTCCTGATGGCCTCGTGAACATACCTTAGACTACCATACAATCTAGAACATTTCCAACCACATTCCTTCCTCTTTCCTTCACTCAGGTCAGATTTGCATCATGGTCTAAAGACTCCCTCAGCCTCACCCAGCTGTCTGCCTGTTTTCTCCCACAGGCATTTCCCCCAATAAAAGTCTTGCACATTTAGTCCTATCTTGGCATCTGGTTTTCAGAACACCCAGACTAACATGTGTTAAGTTTTATCCTCTGTACCTCTCTCTGCAATCAAATTATGCCCCTTTTCCATTCTACAACCTCTCTTAATGGCTCTGGGCTCAGTAACTATGGAGCAAGGATGGCTTTGGGCTGTGGAGGATAACTGGGTTTGTTTGCTGGAGAGAAAGCAGTCGTACCTGAGTCTCCACTATGCCTCACTGGCAAAAATCCTGTCTGTGTTTTAGCAGGAGTGGAAGCTGAGCATCCTCATTCCTGCATTGATCACACAATGCCATGGTAGCATTCACAACTTAGAATAGACACCACTTATTAAACAGCAGCCGCATGCTTTATTACATTAAGCACTTTTAAAACTCTAATGCCTTCATCTCCAAGAGGTCTGAACTCTGTCCTCATTTTACAGGTGAAGAAAGAGCGATTCAAAGCAGTTTTAGGATTTGTCCAAGAAAGTTCATGCCCCTAGTTTTAGAGTCATTGTAAACTTTAAATTCCATCAGGGAATATCCAGGCCCACAGAGCAACGGCATTCAAAGATCTGAGCCTTGATTACAACTCTGCATAAGCCAGGAGATCTCATCATCTAAAGAATTCAGAAACCAGACCTTTCAAACCTTCCAAGTGTCTTGGGTTTTTAATTTTTATTTATTTGTTATTATCATTATTATTATTGTTTGTGGCATTGTTTGAGATCGAACCTGGCATGTTCTTTCATTCTTCCCTGACTCTTGGTATTTCTCCCCTAAACGCGTCACTTGGAAAGCCACTCCTTGTCATTCATCAATCCCTGCTTCAAAGGCGAGTGGCCTTAGCTCCCAACTGTCTGATCACAGGTCCTTCCCAATGCAGAGGTGACTGAGCCCAGCCGCATTCTCCATGGTCCCGCATTCTCCGCCTCTTGCTCACAAACAGCTTGCGAGGCGCTTTCAGCCAAGCGCCTGACGATTTGCAACCTAAATGGGGGCTGCCTCGGCGCCTTTGATGCCTTAGTGGGGCCCTGGGCTCATTCATCACCAGCCTGGGAAAGCCGCAGAGGCCTCCGTGCTAAGGGCTAAGAGCCCACAGGGCCCGGGGTGAGCAGCAGGGGGCGCCCGCCGCCTCCAGGCCACTCTCTGCCCTGGGTGCACAGCTACCCTGCAACCACCCGGTTGCTGCCGCTGGGTGCTGGCGCCCTACCTTCCCACTCTTCTCCCTGCCCGCAGAAACTTCAAAAATCACCGTATTCAGAGACAAGGGTCAGAGACTGAGGCTGCTTCGTTTCCGTTGTCCTTTCTTTTTGTTCTGCTTGTGAGCTTGGCTTTGCCATAGTTAGGATGGAGACTAAGGCTTAAGCGCAGGAGGAGGTGGTAACGCAGGCTCAGCCCTAACCTGTCCTCCTGAGCGGTGGGATGCACAGACTGAGCTCCTAGGGCAGACTTGCACTCCTGGGCCCCAGAGGAAGGGACCCTTTTATTGTCTCCTCACATCTTGGCTTTCATAGCCCAACTGGGAATTACCCTCCCTCACAAGCCCAGAGGAGAGACTTGAGCATTGTTTAGAATTAGCTCCAGTAATAAATATCATTAGTCCAGTTACTGACTTAGTGTTGGCCTTCAGGGCTAATTTGAAGAGAAGATCAAGAGCAAGACTCTGTATGGGCTTGCCTGGATGGTCTAGGGCATTCAAAATGTGATTTCACCAGCTAATTTGGAACACAGTCTGCAAACTGCTCTTCCACCACCTCAGGGGACCACAGGAAGGCAGAATTTGCAATGAATAGATACACACTGAAGGGAGGAAACAGGGGAGACTCCAGAAGATGCAAGCACTGGTATCCAGAGTTCTTACTCCTTACCTGAAATCCCTACCTACCTCTCTAGGCAGGGGAACAAAGAAGAAAGGAGGAGGGCCTAGGTGGGTGGGACATGAAGAGAGAAATTTCCCAAGATATGTTGGGACCACCGAGTGCTGGCATAGATTTAGATTTTCAAAGAAAGTGTGACTCTACAAATCATTTTTACTCCATCTCTAGGACCCAGACTTCTCTTAACTGAAGTTGGGTTCAATTTATGTACACAGTAGGGTCAAAATCCTGACTACCCATGGCAACCATTGCTATTCATCTAAGAGCCTCTGAGGTACAGTAATGCTTAGGTTGTGGGTAGGAACCTGTCACATGATCTGGGCCTGTGACTGAGTTTAACGGGGTCTCAACCAGAAGCAGATGGCAAAATAGGAGAATTCTAGGAGGCTTAGTAAAGGGGTTGTTATCAAGGTACACAGAGGGGACATGTGAATCTCAGGGGATGTGCAATGCTTCAGGATGTGCTTCAGGATGTGCAATGTTTACCACCCTAGGCCCAGAGAAGCCAGTCGGGGAGCAGTTCCTGAAACCAGAACCCAGGGATGGAGAGTGCTGTATGCAGACAGCTGTCTTATAGGATCTTCAGAAGGCAGAGGGATACACTCAGAGGACAGACAGAGAGACAGCCAGGGGACTGCACTGACTTCACTTTCTCCCTCTTTCTAGGGCTCCCCATTGGTCAACAGAAGATGGAAGGTAAGGAAGCCAGTTGGTACCCTGAGGTAAGCCTCCTGCCACATAGGGCAGGGTAGAGACTGGATCTGAATGAGCAGATCAAGTAGGTATCCAGAACAGAGAACTGTTTGATATCAAGGCTACACTTATTCTCTAGCACTATGCTGGGTATATCAACTGAGAGAACAGGGAAACATTCATAAGTGTAATAAAGGAATTTATATTTCTGTTGATTACAACAATCTTTGTTTAGGGTCTTTTGTCATTTGCATGGCATACTTATATATTGAGTCCAAAGTCACATGGAACAAACTTGCAAAACTTGTTAAAGACTCAAGAGACTTTCCCCATGGGGACATCTGAAACAGAGACCTGCTCTGGTCTTCAGTCTTGCTGCAGATGCTCTGGTCTTCAGACCCTTGCTCCCTGCAAGGGTCACTGCTGAGATGCCTCCTCTAACTTGAGAAGGGCCCTCTTTAGACTCCCAAGAAACCAGTGACTTGCTAGTATAGAAAATACGGAGATAAGGCTAACCCAGGGAACTGCTGATCTTGTGTGGGGAGGTTTTGACAAAATAGCTAGTAGAAAGACAATAGTGTCCTCAAAAAGGCATACGGACCCAGAATTACAAGGAAGTTTATTTTAAAACAACTGTGAATAGATTGTGAGACAAAGAACAAATCAAACTATTCAAAATAACTCATATCCCACTTGTATCTGCATTTTCCCCTTGTTTATGTGCTATTAAGTGGTGTAAGGTGAATTAGATGCTTTGTTTTGTTTTACATAAGTACTTGGTTTGATTTATTTAAATTACTAGTAGTACATTTCTCTGGGAGTTCCTAGTTACTAATCCTTAGTCTCTGGCATCTATTATAGCTGCTAACTAACAGCACCGTCTTGCCACTGGTAGCAATAAATAAAGAAAAGGCACAGTCCAGAGAGGGTCTAACAAGTCCCTCTGGTACTTTTTACCAACAGAGCAAAATAAAAAATAGCTCTTAACAGAGTTGGAAAGTGGAGAAGGGAAATAACAAAGAGGAAAGAAAATGAAGGGGAGGGAAGAGAAAGGAATGATGAAAAAAGCCCTCTGAACAAAATCAGACAGTGCAAATGTACTTACTGTAATGGGCCATTTCCCCAAATGCCCATGTTTCTTTGCTTCCTCCTGAGAACATGGCAGAGAAGCCAAAAGGTCAAGGGCCACCCAAGAAGCAAAATGCCCAGCACGAGTTTCAAAATGTAAATACCTGAAGGTGAGCTTTCTGCATGTGGCTGGGTTGTCATTAATGTCTTCCACAACGAAGGTTATCTGCATGCGGTTCTCCTGGCCCCCAAAGGGTCTGTCCTTCACCAGAACTTCCACAGAAATGGTGGGATTCTGTCTTAATTCACCTGCATCTCGGTCCATCCTCTGGGCTACATGGATTGTACCAGTCACTGAGAAGGTAAAGGTCAGAAGATGACCCTCTGAAGACAAGTGAAGAGTAAAGGTGTATGGAGACTAGGAGAACATTGGAGAAGACTACTTTAACACGAGGACTGACTTAAACAGAGAATATTCTCTATTCAAATAGTTTTTAAATAAAACTTATGTAAGTCCCCGTATTAGACATTTATTGGAATATCTAGAATTTTTCAGGGCCCCAGGCTGCAGTCCTTTCCCACAGCTAACAGATTTGGCAAATAGCTGACTCTAGTTTGACCCAGTGGGTTCTCTTATTGAGTAATTTGTATCTGAGAGACATACCTTGGGGAATCAGTGAGGCTGACAGTAGATCTACAGGTAAAAGCCAGAACTCTAGCCGCCAAGGTCTCTGGAGCAGCACTGATTTACACTTTCCTAAGCCCTGTGTCCTGCTTAGTCAACTCCTTTTTCTGAAATACCCAGTATCTCTTTTCTTTTTCCTTTTTTCTATTAACTGGGGATTAACCACTGAGCTACATCCCAATTCTTTAATTTTTTTTTTATTTTGAGACTTGATAAGGGTCTTGCTAAGTTGCTGAGGGTCTCACCAAGTTTCTGAGGTTGCTCTCAAACTTGCCATCCTCCGGCCTCAGTTGCCTGAGTCACTGGGATTACAAGCGCACACCACCATATCCTGGCTCCCAGTATCCTTTCCATTGACTTCCCTACCGTTTTTCTTTTCTCATGCTTAGTTTAGTTTGCCTTAGTTTCTGTTACTTGCAACTAGAGTACTTGGTTTGATTTATTTAAATTACTAGCAATACAAAAACAAAACAAACCCCCAAATGTATGCTGGTTAAAAGTTCAATTTTGCAATACTTTTTAGAACAGAATTCTTTTGGGGGGAGGAGTTCCAGGGATTGAACCCAGGGACACTTAACCACTGAGACACATCCATAACCCTTTTTATATTTTATTTAGAAACAGGGTCTCTTTGAGTTGCTTAGCACCTTGCTAAGTTGCTGAAGCTGGCTTTGAATTTGCAATCCTTCTGCCCCAGCCTCCCTAGATGCTGGGATGACAGATGTGCGCCACCACGCCAGGGAGAACAGAATTCTTGACCATGATTGTCCTTCCTCATACTGTTAGCTGAGTGAGGTCCTCAATTCCAGGGCGGTTCAGCCCAGGGATTACCTTTGCCTGCCCACCCTGGGAATAGGTGTACCTTGCCCTAAAGCTTATGGGGTCAACAATGCATTGTTTTTCTGGGATTGTTCAAGGCGCGTCTCCATAAATCATTATGTCAAGTGAAATACTTTGGGGAAATGTGCTCTGGATTTATGGAGGTGGTATAATCCACTAGTGACTCAGAGGTCAGGCTCTGGGGTCAGCTGGCTTGGACTGGTATTCTGCTTCATGACCTATGAGCAGTAAGACCTTGGACAAGTCACTTTACCTGTGCAGACCTCTCCCTAAGCCTCAGTTTCTCCTTCTGTAAAATGTGAATTATGAAACTTTATTGGGTTGTGTTGAGTATTTGGGGTGGAATGCATATAGAGCACTCAGCATAATGCCTAATATATATGAAGTCTCCAGTGAAGGTGGCATTTACAGAAAGGAGAAACTCTCTTTCTCTGCACTAAGAAACTAAGATTGGAAAATAACTCCCAGCAGTCCAGCAGATGATCAAGAGAGACACTATTCAATATATTACCACTAACTACGTGTAGCTATTTACCACTTGACGTAGGGCTAGTCCTCACTGAGATGTGCTTGAAGTATACAACAAGCTTTCAAGAATTGGTACCAAAGAAAATTATCTAAAATAGCTCATTAATATCTTCTCAATATTGATTACATGTTGAAATGATAATATTGTGGATCTACTGAATTAAATAAAAATGCCATATTTAAAATTAACTTCACTTGCTTCTTTTTACTTTTTAACACTGTAGTTATAGAGATTTTTGAAATTACACATATTTTTTAAAATATTTTTTAGCTGTTGATGTACCTTTATTTTTTATGTATTTATATGTGGTGCTGAGGATCGAACCCAGTGCCTCACACATGCTAGGCAAATGCTCTGCCACTGAATCATAACCCCAGCCCCAAAATTACATATTTGATTTCATCCTATTTCAACACTGTACAGATTCACTCCTCCAAAGACTTCGGGGTACCTCAGGGTAGGTAACTCATGTATCCTCACATATCCACCTTCGTCAATCTGATGGGGCTTGGTGCACACTACCCCACAATACAGCTCTTTGGCATCTGAGAAAACACCAGGAGTCAGAAGGCCTCTCTAACCCCCTCCTACCTTCCCCCTGAAGTAGGCCATAAGAGAGTTTTCTGACTATCCTCAGAAGTGGTCATAAGAGCTGGGTATGGTGGTGCACGCCTGTAATCCTAGCAGCTCGGGAGGCTGAGGCAGGAGGATTGTGAGTTGAAAGTAGCCTCAGCAATTTAACAAGGTCTTAAGTAACTTAAGTAAAATATAAAAAAGGGCTGGGCATGTGGCTCAGTAGTTAAGCACCCCTGGGTTCAATCCTGGGTACAAACAAACAAAAAAAAGCAGTCATAAGAACTTCATTCCAGATACTCTACCCGTGCCCAGAGAAAAGAAGCACCCTTATACTGGAAGACACAGAAAGGTCAAGAAGGCTCTGAACCCAAGCCTTGCTCAGACCCCTCTGGCTTATTGTCATTAGATCCACACCTTTGCCCTCTTGCCCTAACTCACAACTATTTGCTTCTTCATCAAACTTTGCACACAAATACAGTTTTCCCCGTATCTTTGAGTCTTCGTTTCTGAAAGTTCCTGAATTATACTAAACTCACATTAAATAAATGTGTATGCCTTTTTTCCTTGTTAATCTGCCTTGTGTAGGTATAGACAGATTATATGGGTATCAATCATGAATCTACTGATGGGTGAGAAAAGAAATCTCCTCACCCCTACAAAGGCAAAGGATGATGTAGCTGTCACCACTGGGTCCTATTTGGTTTCCACAACTCCTGTGTCAGCTGCTTTTAAGACCTTTATTCCTTGGTCACTAAGGAGGACACTAGACAAAAAGGCATGCCCCAGGCCAGAAGACAGAGAAAATATTGTAAGACCATCCAGAGGACGGAATTAGAGGATGCCCTTAGGGACAGTTGTTTGTGACTCACACTGGTTTATCACAAAGTAGTTGCCAACAGTAGTCATGCTGTAGAGAAGGTGGCCAGAAGAGCCTTCGTCATCAGGATCCTCAGCTGTGATATTGGCCACGATGGTTCCTACACTCAGTTCCTCCGGAATCGAGTACACTCTTGTTGGGCTAGAACAGAAATACAGCAGACACAGCTGATCTGCAGGGCATGGGAGGGTGCTGTCCGGGTGGTGGGTATTTTGGTTCATGCTAAATATAGCACCACGCTGTCGAAGTTGCATCCAAGCGCTTGGAGAGAGAACACAGCACTGCAAGGAGCCAGTGACTGGCTTTTGTATTTCCAAAGATCACATCCCTGAGGATGCAAAGAAAGCGCCACACTGTTATTGCAACAATTTACACAGGCCACAGTCTCTGACTCGACACATGCCTGCCTGATGCCATTTCAGATCAGCCCGTGGCATTAACATCTTTTAAAATAGAGACACTCAGCCCATCCAGCCATCTTCACCATCTTCTCTCCTCCCAATTTTTTTTATATTTATATTTTAGGTGTAGATGGACACAACACAATGCCTTTATTTTTATGTGGTGCTGAGGATTGAACCCGGGTCCCGCCCGTGCTAGGCAAGCGCTCTACCGCTGAGCCACAACCCCATCCCCCTCCCAATTTTTGTGCAGAATTTGCCTGAAATTCTTTTAAAAATCCATCTGAACACAACATCTAGTACTGCTGGTTTCCTTCCTTGTGTCTGACTCCCACCCTGTGGAGGCCACCAGAAGCTGGAAAATTGTAAGGCTTCTGTTCTAGCACCTTTGCTCACTTTTTTCTTCCTTGTCTTTTTTTTTTCTTTTCTTTCTTTCTTTTTTTTTTGGGGGGGTGGGGGGGTGCTGAGGATGTAGAATTTACACTTCTTTCCAAGTTGCATTAATCGTGAGGTCAAATCTCTGAACTGAAAAGTAAGTCCCCCTGGCAGGATATAAGTTCAGAGCACTGTTCTCCAACGGTCACTTCTTAAAAGATAACCCCAAATCGCCAACTAACCCGTCTTCCTCAGACCTCCAATGCCATCGTAAAGGGCCGGCAATAAGAAACATAGGTTGGGGCTGGGGGTGTGGCTCAGTGGTGGAGCGCTTGCCTAGCGTGTGTGAGGCACTGGGTTCGATTCTCAGCACCACATATAAGCAATTAAATAAATAAATAAGGTCCATCAACAAATAAAAATATTTTTTAAAAAAAGAAAGAAACACAGGTTGGAAGTTTTAACTATATAATTGAGGCAAACTGAGTAGTTTTGAAGGCACCAAGGGGGCTTGTTGTTTAAAACAACTGCAGAAAGTTCCCTTACAGAGGGAAAAACATTTCAGTGGGGCAAAGGGTCACCTCTGATTTCCCAGTTTCCCGTGTTGGCGTGTTGCCACCTGGGCTCTTCTTTACCTCAGATCTAAGTGACTGCATTCATGTCGGAGTCAGAATGTTTCTGCAGACCCACCTCACCATTCCCATCAAGGAGGTAGAGCCAGAGGAAGGAGTCACAAGGGGAACAGGGGCAGGCAGAGCAAGGCCAACCCAGGCACTCACACAGTCCTTCCCCACCAGGGGCCTCCCTGGGTCCTGGGTCCCCACCCTCCTCAGTGAGGGAGCCTCCTGTGGGTGCACCCCATCATCCATGGTCTGGGTTTCCCTGCCCGGTGTCCCCTGAGCAGACCCATTAATTAGTCTTCTCACTTACCTGCCACACATCCCTTCTCAGGGACATCTGTGACACAGACCACAGATGGGTCCAAAAATAGGCAAAGTGGGTAAGGCTGAGGAAGCTGGGGTGGGGGCAGGAACCAAAATCAGAGGACAGAGAGTCACCCTATCTCCTGTGGCCAACTGAGCCCTCTGTCCATTCAGTGACAACACTGTTTTCCCCCTGGGATGCTCCTTCTTTTGTCACTGAGTAGTTCTGTTAATTTCTCACAAAGGGATCACTAAGACTCCTTGACACCTAGACTCACCCTGCTTCCCAGGCCACTCCTAGGACCAGTAGAGCCAGGGCCAACAGGGACTTCATTAGGATGCAGAGTCCAGGCTCAGCCACCCCAGACTGCTGAAGGACTATTGGAATGTTCACAGAATGTCCAGGGGATAGGCATGCACTTCACAGTTTGAGAAGGACCTCTATTATTAGGTGTTGCCAGAGCTGATCACCACAGGGTCTTCGCCTGTCCCAGGACATAGAGAAGACACCTTGGAGGAAAACTCCCTTCCCCCACCCTCTGCCCTTCCTTTAGGCAGTGGTTCTCACTTGGTGACGGGGGTTCTATCTGGACTCATTTGGGGTTGTCACAACTTGGGGAGGGAGCTACTCTGGATAGCTAAAGGGTAAGAGCCAGATTCTGCGAAACATTCTACAGTACACAGGACAGGCCTGCCTTAAAGAGGTATCTGGCTCTGAATGCCGGTGGCACACTGTTAAATCCCACTCGGAAGGTTCCTCTGGTTCATGCTGGGAGAGCAGGCCCCGTGAAGGGGCTGGTTAGGCTACAAATGATGGTTCCTCAGGTCAAACGGCCTCTCCTCGGCTGCCCTGATCGTCAGTTTGAAAGAAGACAAAAATCTTTGATCTATTTGATTTGGGATCCAAGATCCAGCTCCATTCAAAATATCATTCAACATCAAGGCCTGGGAAGGTTCAGATCTATACAAAGCGGACTGGTAAAGCTCTGGTACCAATTACATTCTCATACCCTCTTCCCCATAACCCCTGATCACTAGAGCCTGGGCAAGGGGTAGGCAGGTACCTGTGGTCACAGTGACAGGAAAGGGTGGGAATTCTGGGTGACACAGGATGGCTTCATCCCTATGAATCAGTACTCATTAAGTGCTTGAAGTGTTCATGGCATGGCCAGGCACCGGGTAAAAGAAGACCCAGAGTAAATATGAAAGAAATGTGTTTGGGGGTTGGGAGCAGGGGTAAGGCAAGGGAGACCTACCTGCTGATACCTAAAATAAAGCACTCTGCAAAAATAGCAAGCACTGAGCACCTGTAAAGAGTAAATACGTCAGGTACTTTTATAATAAAGCTCTCAACTTTAATAATGACAGGCTTCTGGAGTACACATCATGAGTCCACAAAGCATTTAGACATTTGTCACTACACAGGGATGAAACGGTGAGACATTTTCAACAACAGAAACAGCACTTGCTTTCGATGCAATTAATAAATTGCAGGCGCTTAACAAATAGGGAAGGTAGAAGGGCCGTTTCTACGTTTTATGTCTCTGTGTCACATTCAAACTCAATGTACTTGAGTCAGTTGGAAGATTTAGCTTTATTAATCCTGAATTAAATGATTTATGGTCAGTGCTAGCTATAGTTTGGGAGGACAGAAAAATCAGAAGTCCAAGGGAATCCTCTAAGCCCCTAGGTCAGCACTTAGTCCAACACCACGCAGATCCTTTAACATGTGGATGGCTTAAAGATGAAGTAGCTTATAATTGAACATCCTGGGCAGAGCTGGGCAGTGATCTGGCCCATACCCTTTTTTTGGAGGGCAGGCTCCTAGAGACTCACCCTCCACTGACCACTGAAATAAAGGGGACTAATTAAAGAAAATTACAGAATCCCACAGCTAATAATAGTCTCCACCCAGGGATGGAACCTAATAGGTTCATCTCTCAAACCACATACAAGAACCATGGAGATTCAGGTTGACCTCGGGGGTTGGGGTGGGGGGGGGTGGCAAACCAGCCAAGGTCAGTTTTTCTCCCTGCTAAGGCCAATTGCTGCATTTTAGAAGACAAAGTACAAATCAGATGATTTACAAACTCTGCCCCTGAGGAGAACTTATTTTCCCTTTTGAAATCCTATTAATCTGCTTCTCCATCTCATAGACTCGACACCTGGGGATGGCACCAAAGAATGCAATGACGCCAGGCACAGTGGCACACATCTGTTGTAATCCCAGCGGCTTGGGAGGCTGAAACAGGAGGATCATGAGTTGAAAGCCAGCCTCAGCAAAAGCAAGATGTTGAGCAACTCAGTGAGACCCTGTATCTAAATAAAAGAAAAAATAGGGCTGGGGATTTGGCTCAGTGGTCGAGTGTTCCTGAGTTCAATCCTCCGTAATAACAACAAAAGAGAATGCAGTGGTTCTAGCTCCACAGCCTTCACCTTCCTCCTGGGGTTACTGAGGAATCCACAGAACTATGTTGGCCAGTATCTTAGCCTGAGGCCCAGCTGGGATGTCACAGCTACTTAAGCACTGACTTGGTGTGTGCATCTGGAACAACCCATCAGTGGAAAGAAATGCAGTGTGCTTTCCTGAGCCTGACCCAGCAACAGGCACCGATGAGAAGCATTATGTGGGAAGCAGTATTGTCTGCTGCTGTCACCTCCATGTTGACCCCCAGACACTGGGCTGTGGACTGTGGTTCATATCCAGAAGGTTCACAATTGTGGTGTGTTTACAAAGTGGCACTGGCTTAGCCTGGGAATGTAGTAATCTCAATACCTCCCAATCTTAGAATATTTTTGTAAGCACTCTACCTGGCTTTTAAAAATATACTTTTATTTAATTTTATTTGAAATTGACAAATACTACGTGTATCCTAATCACTTTTTGTTGGTAGAGTATCCTGTGCTGAATTATTCTCAGCCATTCATGCAGTTAATATGCAGGCAGGTGATTTTTCCATTTTCCTTATAGATTGCTTCTGTGCCCATCTCCGGTACTGGGGCAGGCAGACTCTCTATAATTAAAAAGCCAGACTCCAAGCCCCATCTTCCCCTCCTGCATCCCCAACTGCCACAGGCTAGGCTTCCAGCTCTGGGCCTGGAATGGTACCAGACCCACTGCCACAGGCTGCCCTGTTGGAAGTGCCTACTTGCCCCACCTTGCCTGTGGACACAGCCAGAAGTCTTTCTGGATTCACCAGGGCAGGAAGAAACTTTGAGTGCCTTAGGCACCGAGGACACACTCTAAGAGTAGGCTTTATGGAGTCCTGACTGATGATATATGCTCCAGGATTCTGCCATTATTAACATGAAACACTTATTGTATAAGTTATCTGCCTTATATTGATCTTCTACATGTGCACAGTGACAAGCCACAAACTAGTCATTGCATCCAGCCCCTAATCCTCTCCCTATCATGTCCACAGTCCCACGGTACGTGTGAGTGTGGGATACTGAAGGCACAGGGAGCCACGGTGGAGAATGGAAGTCCAGATGCCCAGATAAAAGACACTGAAGATCTTGTGCCTCTTGTCTCTCCTTGAGGCCAGAGCAAAGGGCATCTCCCTGTCTTGTGATAAATATGTCCAAGGAGGCTTGAAAGTCAGTGCCTGTTGCCCAGAGAGCCCTGCATACCCTCAGGCCTACCTGGTAAAGCGAGGGATCTCATCATTGATGTTCACTATGGTCAGCCGGAGCATCGTGGAGGCTTTGAGGCCTCCGCTATCCCTCACTTCCACAATGAGGTGGCAGCTGTGGGGGAAACCGTGCAAGTAAGAGAGGCAAGCTTTTCTGACATTATAACAAAGAGGGGTGGAAGAGAATGGAATGGGAGGAGTGAGGCAAGAATCTGTCCCCTTTCTGGCCACCCCCTCCTTATGCCCTTGCAGCCATTAGACCTGCTATGCTGGCCTTCTCTACCCGGCTCTGAAAGCCCACTCCCCCATTTCTCCTTCTGTGGTTGTTCTTCACAGCCACCACCTCTAGGATGGACATCTGCTCAAGCCAGCCAAGCTGGGCCCTCAGTCTCCTGGTTCCTCTCACTGTCCCTGCCAAGTGTCTATCCTGCTTGAGAGGAACCAGGCCCCCATGGCATAAGTAATACCTTAGCTCTCACGATAGGTGCAAGGCCAGGAGCCTTACCTGGCTCACCCAAGGCCATGGTTATCATTCTAAAGCCCAGCCTCTCCTCTGAGCCTGCTCCTCCCATCCTGTGGTCCTCCTGCTCTCCAGTCCCTTCCTGGACAGCTGCCTCTCAAATGACACTGGATTCTGAGCATCCCCCTGATGTGTGGGCGCCCATACCGTCATTCTTCCTGTCTGGAAAGGATGGTTCTGGACAGGCAAGACACCTTCCAGGCAATCTCCTCATCTGCTCTTCCTTGGGTTCAATGTCCACGGAACTCACAGTGAAGCAGCAGCCTGCTCAGGGTCCAGGCTGCCTTTAGGTAGCACATGGCTGCTTCCTCACTTTTTCTTTGCCCCTCAGCTAAACCACACTTGAAGGAAGGTCATTGGCGTGCTACCTGTTGTGTCCTGCTTCGAAGTCCAACTCCGTCGTGGAGAAGATGGTGCCGTTAGCAGACATTCCAAAGTTATTTGAGGAAGAAATCAGGAAATACTAAAAAATGAGGGGGAAAGTAGAATTAAACCAGCACATGGGTACACCTTTCTTCGGATGGGTTTGTTTGGTTCCCATTTTATATTCTTGGCCCTTGGAACACTTTTGATGAGTCAGGATGAGCCCAAATGGGCAGTTCTCAGACTTGACTGCTGAACATAAGGGCGTCCAGATTTGCTGGCCTGAGCCTCTGGCTCTAACTGACCACACCCTGAGAGGCTGGTCATTGGAACCTGCAAGGATACAAAGGGCCCTGGCTTGGCAGGCTTTGCTGAGTCCAGTCCCCTTATCCCCATGATTATATTCTCACTTCTGCTTCCAGACAATGCCTGGCTTTGATTCTGTCTTTAACCAACACTGTCTAAGAATACCTACCATCCATTAAATAACAGGACTATGCCAAAATAAATAAGACCTCTCCTAAAAGACTTTGTGGTATAAAAGGGTACAAAAATATACACAAGCAGCAGTCGTTGAAATGATGACGGAGACAGGGAAAAGACGAGTGAGACCTGAGAAAGAAATTGAGCAGTGCTTAGAACCCAGATTGGAGCCCAGGTTGGGGCTATAAAAGAACTATTTTTAAATCTCATTCTGGTGGCCTTGTGACTTCATTCTGGTGAAGTCCTTGTCACATCTGTAGGTAGTGAGAACCTTTGTCAACCATGGCCCCCAGAGTCCAGGCAGCTCTCCTGATAATTCCCTGCTCAGAACCCTTTGGTCTGATGGAAACACATGAGCTCATGTGCACAAGGGCAATCCCAAATCCCACAGGAGGACCATGGCTGTGCTACCCTTGGGTGCTCATCGAGATTGCTTCCTTGCCCAGACAGTGGAGTCAAGGAAAGAGGGAAAGGGCTGGACCAGAAGAGCTGGGTGCAAATTCTGGGACAAGTCCCTTCCTTGCTGTAACTCAAGGATGATACCACCAATTAAATGAGGTTGTGCACTATAAAATATAAAGGGCTGCAGCAACATTTGAGACTTACATGTTTATATCCATTTGTTCCAAAGGGCTTTAGGGTTAGAAAGGTTCATTAATTCCTGCTAGGATGAGGAATGATCTATCCTCAAGGCCTTAGATCTCTGGAACAGATAATCAGTGGAGGTTTTGTAACCAGAGCCATAGCCCCTGAAGTCTAGAATCAAAGGAAATACTGGCCAAGGTTTCCAACCCAACGATTTTCTGTGTGATTGCTGCTAAGCTCCCAGTATGAGAAGAGAGAACACAGAAAATAGATTAAAAGTCTCCTTTGGGGCCGGTATAAGGCTTTTAAACCATCTTTTAAAAGTATTTACTTTCTGTTTATTATTTCATAATCTCTTTCTAGTTATAATGAAGATACTTTTTAATACAAAGATTGGGAAAGATGGAAAAGTATCTAAAAGACTAAATATAAGTCATTTATAAAATCTCAGCATTTTGATGAATAATCTTTCATTCTTTTCTGTGCAAACATAGTCACTCCAAAATCTTGAGGTGATGTTCTAATCAAAATGGCAATATCTTTCTCTTTGCATTGATGTATCAAGCATCTCCTCCTATGCCTGAGACTTATTTTATAACTTAATGATGGCATAGAAATGTCCTATAAGGGTTTATTTTACTAAGACTTTCTAGCTGGTCATTTAGATGTTTCCTGCCTGTTTTTATGAGGAAACATTTGGGCAATACCAAGGAAAATTCATTTCCCCCAAACTCTCAGATAATATAAACCCCTTGGCTGCCCTCTGTTGCAGCCCAAGGTCCCCACCAACTGCCCAGTTCTCTCTCTGGGCGGCTATTCCTGGGTCTGCAGCTGTCCACATGCAGAACAGTTCTGTGTCTTTGAGCTGAGCCTTCTCTACAGAGAATCCTCACATATTCACAAATTAGAGGCTCCAGTTCATTGCGATTGAAGGACAAAGTTTTAGAGGCCATTTACTATAGGGGTACCATTTACCATATGCACCTGAATCAGATGTCTTTTCACATATATTTCACATGCTCTAAAAGATGAGTTGGTGCCAGCAGTGAACGGTCTTGGGATACAGAGATGACAGACAGGCCTTTATGGTCAACTGAGGGAATATAATAGATGTGGGAGAGAGACTCCAAGATAGATAAATATAGGATATGATGGGAATAGAGGAAAAGGTCTCAGAGTCATCTGAAGTAAGGGTCACAAATTGGGGCAGTGAAGCCAGATTTAAAGACAGGCAGTTAGTGTAGTTAGGTAAATGGGGTCAGATACTGAGTCCAATAAAGAAAATAGAGACCATATTGGAAAGTGGAGTCTGATCTGAGCCTGGGAAATCCAGAACAACAACTGGGGAAATTGAAATGTTAATGTCCCCAAGGCCCCCTGGACTGTCCTAAAGAACTCTTAATGAAGTAGCTCCCAGCAAGACTGGGAGATGCTAATCAATCCACCCTAGGCCCTTCCTGCCCAGAGCTCTCCTCCCAGCCCCATCAGTCCTCCTGTTTCCCACCTTTTGGCCCTCCCACCTGCATCCCCACCACGTGTAGGATAGTGGGAAATAAAGGACAGGAATGTGGGAGGACAAAAGAAAACCTTAGATATAAAAAAGGGAAGACCTCCCCTTTCTAAGGATTTCGCCTTTCGGGTCCCCTTCTTCCTCCAGGGGGATGTCTGTTCTGCTGTCCTATAATAAAGCCTTTCCCTTTCCACTCTACACTTGCCTCCAGGTGATTCTCTAGTGTGATACTTCAGCATTTGGGGAAGCAAGGACTCTTCACGGTAAACAGCGGTGACAGTAGTAAGGTAAATTCAGTGATGCTGGAGCCAGACTTCCTGGATTGAATCCTGGTTCCACCGTTTTACAGCTCTGTGGGTTTGTGTTAAGAGTAATGTCCTAGAGCCTGCCCCAGGTAAACTGCTAGAACAGTGCTTGGCAAGTGGTACCCACAGCAAACATTAACTACAGCTGTCCCAGGTGAGGTGAAGTTCTCTGCAGAAGCTGCCTCTGCACTGAAGAGCCTGAAGACTGACCTCGGTGCACCAGGACTTCATGACTGGAGAGACAGAATGTTGCAGACCAAGAGCCAAAGGCCAAAGTTATCTTGGGTTACCTTTAGTCCCTTTTTTTTTTTTTGGGGGGGGGGGTAGTGGGGATTGAACCTGAGGTGTTTATCCCCTAAACCAAATCCTCAGCCCCTTTTCATTTTTTTTCTATTGAGACAGGTTTTCACTAAGTTGCTTGGGTCTCGCTACGTTCCTGAGGCTGGCCTCAAACTTGCTATCCTCCTGCCTCAGTTTCCTAAGTCAGTGGGATTCCAGGCATGTGCCACCACATTCAGCCTTTAGTCCCTTTTAATAGCCATTCACTATCAACCTCTATATCTGAGTTAGCATTCTCGTGACTACTTGATAAAACTCCTGGCCTCCACCAACCCTAAAGCCAAGAATGCCATAACATCCAAATCCTGTAAAAGATTTTCCCTCCTCCTTAAAGAGGACATCTGAATCTTATGAAAGATCTCCCTGCCTCTTTGTAGTCCCTTGATGATCCCACCTACTTTCTTTTGTGATTATAAATTGAGTAACTTCTTCTGCAGAAGAACCATATCATTCTGGCTAGGTTGAATCAGTGTTCCTGATCCAAGGTCACTCCTATATGACTCAGAATAAATTATTTTCTTATTTCCTTAAAGCAGAGTTATTTTCTGTTAACACTCATTAGAAGGTTAAAATCCTGGGTTGGGGATGTAGCTTAGTGGTAGAGCCCTTGAGAGGCCCCTATATTTGATCCCCAGATTGCAAAAAAAGGAGGCCCTGAGTGAAAGGGCTTCATTGGATTCATAGCTATATTCCCTGCATAGGATGGTGGCTGGCACATAACAGATGCTTAATAAGTATTTACTAAGTGTTCAATATTGGGGTTTTCTTCTACAGGACACCTTAGAAACTCTTAAAATAACAATGAAAAACCATCCTGCCAAACACTATGTAAAAATCTGTTCTTATGTGGTAATGCTAGATTTGGCTATGAAATCTTTCCCAGCTTGGCCTACAATTTCAACAACTTATGTGGAAAGGAAAGAGAGAAAGCAGAAAAGAAACAGCAACTGATAGAAAGGGTATGGAGAACCAAGAGAATATTCTTCTTAATTTCTGTTAAGAGGCTGATTTCTCGGAATCTTGATATTTTTTTTTTCCTTTTTTGTATTAGTGCCAGGCTAATTTCTTTTCTCCCTGAACCTTCACGCTTTGTTCGTGGGAATAGCACTTTTGTACTTAGAAAGGAGATAATATCCATAGACTAAAAATATTGTGTCATGTGGCCATTTGCCAGGAACTCGGTAAGGCTCTCTGTAAAACCTGGCATTCTCTCCCCCTTTTTAAAGGCTTGTTTAATCAAAGTTGCTCCCTTGATATTCATTCTTGGAAAACAGAAATTAAATAGAATGAAAAGCCAACGCAGCCCCTCTCTGCCCCGGTACTGGCTAAGAAAAGTCCTGAGTAATCAGATCAATTCAGTTAACAAATGCTTGTCAGACTGGCTCTCTGGTCTCCCCGCTGGGACTATTCCTTTCCCACCTCCCAGGTTCCTTTATTTGCCATCCCTCTGCAGCTATGGATTGCTCTCGGACACAAAAGCTTCTGTTTAGAAGACAGAGAGCCCGTCCTTCCTTCCCTATTCTCTCTTCACCATGCCTTTGGTATAGGGAGAGAGGAAGGTGAGAGGGAGTGGGCGCAGTTTCCTGAAATGTCAGCTCCCCAGGGGGCAGGCCACCTCCAGGCTCCCTGACTACAGTTGGAGTCACAAGCCAGTGATTCAACCTGTGCCTGGCTTACAAGCCATCCGTTGCTTTGCGGGGCAGTAGTGCAAACAAATGAGAATTCAGCCTCCTGTCTTCCAGAGAACAGAGCTATCTATTTACAGGCCACCTTAGGCCAAGATTCCAGTGGGAAGGAAGGACCTTCACTTTTCCCAAGTCCAGGGAGTACCAATGACTGCAAACTGTTGAGTGCATGGCCCCAAACACACCCCAGAGG